CTTTTTACTGAAGGAAATAATTTAAGGATAAAAATCCAACACCAGAAAAGGAATTCAGCAAATAATTTGTTCTGCTTTACAAAAAGGAGTTTTTTTCATCAAAGCAGAATAAAACTTGTGATGTTCAGTAAGCAAAGTAAATTTACTGTAATATTGTTGGAGCACCAATGACATCATCATGGAGTATATCTAAAACAATTGTTCCTTTATAGTTCTTTTGTTTGTTTTTCAATGCAGCACCCAAACTTTTCAAATGGTTCCTAATTTCATACCAAGCAGAACCTGAATATGATCAACCTTAAAATACTTCTATAATGTTTTAGTGTATACTAAAATAACAGAACAAGAAATGATCAAATAATCAAATGTAAATTGTTTAGATAACTTTGTCTGGTGATCTGTTTCTTAGACCGAAAATATCTTCAATCTGTATTAAAAATAATTTTTTAAAATTATAAAGCAAACTTCCAATAAGTAATATTTCTTTCACTCTGTATATTGGAATAAAAATGATTATATCAAAACTAGATGTTCCTTGCTTCTTCCCATATTTAGTGAGAAATATCTAAATGATAAATTGAAATTTGTAATTAGTGTGTTCATTTAGCTAATTTTCAATTTAAAGAAATATCCCCCCCCCCAGTAATGATAAAAAAAACCCAATACAACAAGGTTTTTAATTATTTTTTTGAAGGTTAACCACAAGAGATTGTTTTTCCACTCGGACCTTTAAAAAGAAAAGCTCAACTATTAGAATAAATAGCTTTACGCAAATCTATTTTTAGTAAATTGCTGAACGTTAAGAAAATTAAAAATGCTCCACCTACAACCAACTTAAAAAATAACTTAAATCTTCATAACAATGAAAAGTGGCTGAAAAAGGAAATAAAAAAAATAAAGGTCACTCAATGAAAAGGGAAACCCAAACTATTTGCAGTAATTTATAATACAAATAACCACCAAACAAACAAATATAAAAATAATATCAAAAGAATAAATATGTTCCACCTTGCCTTGAACTAAGTTGGGTAGGGTCATATGGAGGAGGAGGTGGGAAGAGTGTGATAGAGTGTGTGTGTGTGTGTGTGTGTGTGTGTGTGTGTGTGAGAGAGAGAGATTGTTGAGGCAGCCTGGGTTATCATTCTTCATTGTGATGTTAGTGCAGCTGAAGTTAGCTACAAAAAGTGAACATCTACATTTTCACATTCAGGACTGTGGACACTGGTTTAGTGATCACTTCTTTTGGCTTTGCAGCAGCCATAACACAGGAGCAAAAAAAGAGAAATAGATTGACAAATTGGAGGATCCAAGTAAATATTTTATAAGTTGACCATCTCCTCTAATAAAGCAACAGTGTCAAGGACCTTGTCCTGCAAAGACAGTGACTTTTTGTTCACCTGTCGTCCAACAGCCATATTCGAAAGAACGTGGGAATATTATGCACAGAAGGCATCATGAACCTCATTATTCCAGAAGATTGTTATGAAAAAAAAAAAAAAAAAAAAAAACACTTGATGACTGTTGCCTATTTACAAAAGGCCTCCTTTTCCTGGAGTAGAAACCATCTCTTAGTGGTCAGTTCCATGGAGAGAAGGAAGGGTTGGAACCTATGTACACACTACTGGACACATCTGGCTACACACAAACAGAACAAGTGACTACAGCAGTAATAGTAGAGATGAGGCAGACATACATGCACAGTCAGAGACTCAAATAAGTCCAATGCCTTCAGCTTTATTTAATACTGCTACGTACACTTACTACTGCAGTTCTAATCATTTACGCAGTGCTAGAGTGACAAACCAGGATTACTTGAGCTGGAATCCCATATTGTTTCAGGTTCACAGTCAATAAAAACTGAATTTAGATTAGTTTCAAGAAATTTGTATTCACTAATCTAATCTGTACTAATCTGGACAGCTTATTTCTAATCTAAAATCAGTTTCACACTGCAAACCACCAAAATGGGATAAGAACGCAGTCAACCCGAATTGGTGGAAGGCAAAGCCTTGTATGTGGGGATGACAAAAAAAGTTGGGCAAAAGAATCTGGCATTATACATTTTGCCAAAAAACAGTATAATGAATAATAAGCACTCTAGTTGACAGTGGATTTTGGTATGCACAAACTCAAGTGTCATAATGAAACAGAATCAAAGATAAGATAATGGTGAGGGTTGAAATTAGTTTAAATTAGTTGAAACAAATTAACATTGCCATCTTAGATATTTTTTTTTTAACATAGCAGTCAACTCTGAATTTTTTCTATCAGATGGAGAATGTTATTTAAACATAGCAAATCAGATTTTGGTCCAAGAGTAGAAGTTTAATAAATGAAACTAACAAATATCAAAAGGGTGGGAGGTAATTCTATTTGCAGAATAGTCTTACAAGAGTCGCAGGTGATAAAAAAGATCTAAGAGGAGAGTAAGAACCCAAGAAAAAAATGTTGTGGTATGGCAAGATATTTAAGATGTTAGCCCGACTTTTTAGAAAATGAATTTGTTCCAGTAGTGTATACCAGGAAACAGCAATAGAAAAAATGGATTAACATTAGCCAGTAACTTGAATACTGCGAGTTTTCCAACAATTTAGGACCCCCACCTCCAAAAAAAAAAAAACAAAAAAAACTGGAATTTAGAGACTAATGATCGGTAGCAATGGCTGCAATAAATTCCTCAACCCAAATTAGGAAGAAAATCTGAGGAAGTGACGACCGGGAGATTCCACAAAAAAAAAAAAAAAAAAAAAACAGACACAACCAGAAGAAGGCCGACCACAAAAAGCCATAAGAAGTTTGCAATTTAAACAGCACAAAGAAAACAAAGCAATCTTCATTTTTTTCATTTAGGGGATTAAATTTGATGAGTAGAGCCACACCTGAGGTCATACCCATCAGCATTGATTAAAAATGTTTAGCCACAATTTTTATTTAGAGAATGCAGCAAATAAAAAGTGAATTTGAAAATGGCAGTGTTTTCATTTGATAAAAAATCCAATAATGGAATTTTGATGGCAACAGAGAACTTGCAACAGTTTTTGTCTTCAGTAACTTTGTTTTCAAATAACAGTTTTGCTGAAAACTTACATTTCTGATTCAAAATATTAAACCAAATCTTATGGCTATGTTTTCACATTTGTGGAAAAATTGTTTTCTCTCCTGGTTATCAACAATTGATCAACAACTTTGGTCTCCAGCAGGCACCGGACAAATAGTTAAACCCCAAGAAAACATAAAAGTTCTAGAGGTGAGTAAATGTGGGTTAAAGAACTGGGGTTAGAATCAGAAGAGGCTGGAGCCCACACTGCAAGTAAATACAGGGCACCATTACCATTTACACAGGTCTTAAAAATATCAAATGTTTGTCAATCAGAAACATGCCTTAAACTAATGAGATCTGTGAAACTGGATTGACATTCCACATAATCAGGATTATCGGCAGCTTTGACAGACCTAGGTAAGATTTTGGCACAAGATTTCAAGAGAATATAGGGATTAAAAGAAAAGTGTGGTTGGAAGAATAAAAATTAAAAATCAACTAGCAGAATTAAAAGTAATAATCAAAATATCATTAACAGAATTAAAAATAATAAAAATAGTATTAGCAGAATTAAAAGTAATAATTATAAAAATAATATCACTAGCAGAATTAAGTCAACAAGAGCAGGTAGAAGACTTAAACTGAAGGCACTGGTACTTTATGGTGGGGAGGGGGAGGATCAGCTGCTACCTTTGAGGTGGAGCTCACAGAGAAAGGGTATAATAGTATTGACATAAGTTAGCAAATACTGAAAGAAGAGATTATTAGTAGATTTAATAATGTGTGTGTGTGTGTATGTATATATATCACACACACACGTTTTGTTGTTAGTTTCCCTTAGCATCCACTATGTATGAGTGGAGATTAGGGTGGATGAAGATAGTCATAACTTGTTTCTTCAGCATTTCTTAGCCTGCTCTTGTTTGTACTGTGGCTGTGACTGCAGATTATGGTTGATAGTTTTCCAAGTTGCCCTGGTACCTAGCAAGAGTCCCAAGAATTTAACAAGAGGCTAGCATAGAAAAGATATAAAAATAAACGATGAAAGCCAAATCAAATGCTCAATGTAACTTATTATTACTGTCTTATAATCTACTGGTGAATATCTTTCATCCATCAAAATGTAAACCTGCTAAAGCTGTTTAAAAGTTTGCCAATTTTCAATTTGTTAGTACTAATTATGGTTAACTGAATAAAGAAATATTTCTTTCAACTTAGTAGCAGGCAAAGTTAGTTTGTTTTGAACATTCACTCACATTGTGTCTGAATATCTGTAAAACAGATTGAAGAGACAAGCCTCAACCAATGAGAAATTCATGCATATATGCACACAATTACATGCAGAGAAAAACACATTCAGCAAAAACAGAAGAGAAACCAAATTTAAAACTTAGTAGACACACTTGAAATCCAATATGGATGCTGCAGAGAGGTTTTCAGGCCTTTCCTTTCTTAAAAGACCATGACAACTCAAAACTATCAAAAGATACATTAAAAGAGAATCTCAAATTAAATTTTATAAAAGTTATGACCTCAAATGAAATCTATAAAAAGTAATGGCCATCTTAAGTAGGGGAAAAATAGCTTTGGAAAAAAATGATGAGAGAAAATAAAAGCTGCACTTCAAATGCAACTTTAAAACTTAAATAGAATCGTTTGCTCCAGTGATAAGCTCTGATCCCCTAAAACACAAGAAATGAGGGAAGGGATTGGTGGGTGGGGGAGGAGAAAGAATGACAAATTAATCCTGACTCCTCATCTATTTGAATTAGAAGGAACTCAGGGTGGCATTTGCTACCGATTATTAGGGAATATACTTCGCAGTGACACAATGGCTAATAGTGTACATTTCCCCTAGGGTGGATCCCTCTATGAGATGAAGTGTGAAGCTGATTGTTAGGTTCATACAAGGTCATAATCCAAGTGCTCTGAACGATAGATGGCAGCCCGATAACTGTACCTATCAGACAGACTGCGCTGCACTGGCTTCATGTTCTTGCTGTTATTCAGCCCACCGCCTGCAACACTGGGTGAGCTGCTCTTCTCAACACAATCATCAGTCGTCTCATCATCTTCTCCAATTGTCGTTTCCACCAATGATGGTTCAATTTCCTTTTTGTAGGTGCTTAACTTGGACTGCAGCAGATATTTGTAGGTTTGAAATCGTTTTAACTGTAAAAATAAAATGAGTTTATTATCTGTGGGATACAAAATATAAAATATTTTCAAAGTTGAAAAGTATGAAATACCTACACAGATTAATTTCTAAAGTAAGATGGAATAATTGAATATTTACAACAGAGATATTATAAAATGAAAAAATAAGTTTTTTCTATCTGAATTTCTGAAATGACGAATTCTTATGCAATTGTGGCAATTCATCTTCACTGTTATAGTTTGACTACTGTTCAACTTAAAGGTGTAATTTATTTAATTTACAGGGATTACTTTGAATATATGCTCTTTAGTGCTAGAGGGCATCATCAGTGATGTTCTGAATTGGGTCATTGGACAGTTTCGGGTCTTTCAAACATTATACTCTCCTTATCAAGTCGACACCATCAGAGCTGATCAGTCTCTGATGTGCCCCACATCTAAATTGACAGCCTGCAGATAATGACTTATATTATAGGCAAACCATACCCCTCTGTCACGCATTAGATCGGAAGTTGACCAAAAGCCAATCACAATGGTGTGAGCTCTATTTAAGTTGTTTATGGGGGATTTTTTACTTTTTCTTTTTATGTGGATACTATTCCAAATAGGATAGGCACCTGAAAAACCTGACTATAACAATCAAGACAAGAACAATTCAATGCATAATCATATTGTCTCATCTCAGAAATTCAGACAGAAAAGAATTTCTTATAGTAAAAATTCAGAAAGCATATTAATGCAACAGTTTCTATGCATTCATATAAAGAATTTAAGTTTTACAAAGCAAATAAAATTTATAAAATAATGATAAATTATTATGTAAAAGGTAAAAATGAAATAAGATAATTTGAAGATTACTTCACAGCCATTAACTGACAATTGTATTTTTGATTTTAAAATACAATACTCAAAGGAAATTAATTGTTTAATAAACTTTAATAAAAAAATAAAGTTTTAATATTAGTTAAGCTTAAAATTTATGGTCAATTTTCAATATTTACATAATTACTAGGAATTTAATGGATGAATTTATGTTAAAACATATTGTAGCATTTTTATTTATAATTGACACTTCATAAGAAATTTATTCTGAGAAAGAAAAATTGCTGTCATATGCTTATGTAAAAATTTTTAGTTTCATTTAAGGAGTGAAATTTATATCAAAATTATTTTTGTCAGTTATGAATAAAAAGTTTTTTTTATAAATATAAAGAACATTTGTAACACTAATTGATCAATTTACCTAAATGTATGATATTAGTTAATCTGATTCTGTTTTTACAGTTTCTACAGGTATTTTTTGGCTGAGCCTACGGGCTTGGAAAACCCACGCAAAACTCGGTCTTGTGCCACATCTTTCCCTCGTGGGGGGGTCAAGTAAATATTGACTTGTTGGAATCGGTTGATTATGACTTCAACTTACTCGAGAACTATTTGACCTTCCAAACAGCAGCACTCACTACTGGTTTTGCAATAACCTTTATTTAGTTATCCACCATGTTGTTCAAGTGATATTCCTATTAGCACGGAATATAACATGGGATAAATTTAAACTTTTCAAAATGTGATAATATTTTCAATTGATTTTATAATTTTATAATGTTCACTTTTGCTGCATTTATATACATACAGGAAACATTAATTCAAATTGTTTGTGTCTTTTTGAATATGTGTTTAGTTCTAGAATTCTTTTACAATATATGCAATACTTATTGTAGTTATTTTTATTCCATAAATATTAACAGGTAATTTATGTTTGAAGTTAGATAACTAAAAAAAATATGGAAGATATTCAGGAAACAATAAATGGATGTGTTGAAATTGTTTCTTGAAATTGTGTGAAAGAAAAGGCAACAGTAATAGGAAAAAAATTAAAAGTTCTAATTTTTGAAAAAATGTATATATCAAAAGTTAAAAATGAAATGCACCTCTGATTCAAGAAAATTCTCTTTTTCAAGATATTCATTGATGACACGAGATTTGGCCCCCTTTTCTGGTGGACATATTCTATGGTCATGTAACTCCTTTTCTAGTTGGGACACTCTTTCAGTGTGAAGTGCTAACTGCTCAGCCTGGCAAAAAGAAAAAAAGAAAAATCCTTATTTTCTATTTTTGAATGTACCTAGAAGTAACAAGAAATGTAACAACTAAAGTTTGTTTTGGCTACCAGATATCAATAGTTATATATATATATATATATATATATATCTATCTCATTTTATCATTATATGCCTTATTCAAAACCATTATGCTTCAGTCATTGTACTCTCTGGCCTTTTTAAATCATATTCTAAATTTTGAGTCAAACCATTAATTCAGTCATATCACATCAATTTTTATGATCTTTCCATTCTTGGGAGATATTTATAATCAGCAAACCTGGTGAGTATTAATTAACACTTTTGTGTTGCTTACCCATTCCATCCACGTAATTGGTGAGTATTAACCGATACGAGTTATCTCCCCTAACAATGGAACACAAAATAAAAGTCTACTGTGAAATGAATAGTGTTCAGTTCAAAATTCAGAGAAAGGAATGTTATACAGAATATGATAAATACAAGAAGATGGCTGGAGGGTATTGAATATAACAACCAAGATGAATTCGAATAATAATATTTAATTACTTTATTTAAAAAGATCATTTTTTAAACTATTTAAAGAAATCGGAATTGGCATCTTTTTGAAGAAAGAAAAATTTATTTTTTAAATTTATTTTCTTTTATTCTAATAAAGGTAAAAATGTGACTCAAATGCAACAACATTTTGCTGAAGATTTCTTGCTGAATAATTCTGCACAGTTTAGCAAACCAATTAAGGTTGATAGGGAACAAAATCAAGACATCATGTAAAAAAAATCTACAAAAGTGTCTGCCTGGAAGAGAAAATGCATAATATTCCCTCAGGATACTGATCAACCACATGTTTTTTTGGTGATCAGGCAAAAATTGTTACAGCTTGACTGCATTATTTGCATTACCATTTATTCTTGTTTTTACAGAATTCTCTTAAGAAAAATAATTTGAATTCCCCTGGAAAATTGCAAAAGGCACCAAGAGTAGTTCTTTGCTGAGAAAGGTAACCCATTAACTGCCAATTTTTTTTAATGCGCATTTTTGGCCCAGACAGGTGCCTTTGAGTTTATTTATTCCTTATGTTTAATTTCAGTAGTTACCATTGTTGTTTTTATAGAAACTAGAAAATCAAATATATATATGTATAAAACATAAAATAATATAGATTAGAAATAATAAAAAAATACTTTTCAAAATAGTCATTATTTTTCTTGTCATGAAATGTAAAATTACGACAGAAAGTATCTTCTTACAGCTAATAATAAAAATTTTAAAGACTAAGTGTTGTAAAATACACCTTTGCAAATGCAATGTATGTAAGTAATTCAATGTAAATACAAGGAATAACATGTAGCGAGTTTAATTTTAACAGATCCCCAAATGGGGCTCATGGCAGGTAATGGGTTAATCAAATTAATTTTTTGGCTATGCCAAACATTATTTTTATATAATAAAAGAAATTTTCCACAAGTACATTTTATCCTGTATTATTTTCACTCAAGTTTTATAAAATAACATGCTTAAAAAAGTAAAAATTCTCTTAGCAGGTTTTAGAAACTCACTGAAATCATGTATATAATTAGAAGATTTTTGTTAATAATTATTAAACATTTGTTGTATAAAATTTTAGCGGGGTACTTTTATAACTGAAAAGAGACATTTGAATAACAAAGATAGCATAAAAGTATACATTTTCTGCTTAAAATTTTAAAAAATCTTTGAATTTATATTTATGATCAAGTGATGCATGAAAAAACTTATTCTGCTGTCTTGACTGCTTTAATACAAAAACAATTTAAAAGCCATTGAATCGTTTATGATTATCTTTAAATTCTTTTTGATATCAAACCAAAATAATTTTTTTATTTGAACGGAAAAAACATCCAATTATAATTAATAAAGTCAATCAACTGTAATAGGAACAACTTATTGCTTCTAAAACTTCTTGAAAATATGCAGATATCAGTAAAACTGATAGACTTTATTGGTATGCAAGTTTCTATAAGCAACATCAGATAATCAATGAAAAACATTCTTATATTTTACAATTAAAAAAAGATTTAATATTGAGTGATATCTCTAAAATAAATATTTCTAACCTCAAAAAAAATAAATCTTACCATATTTTTTTTTGTGTAGGTAGAAGGCATTAAAGGCCGTTGAAACTTTTTTTGAGAACCAATTCCACCAGGTAGAGGTGGGGCTGATAAACTAGCTGCAACAAAGTTGATGGTTTCCATCCATTCTTGGAGTTCTTTACTATCACTGCAAATATATTGAAATATTTCATAGAAACAACAATCACAAGTGAATGATCATAATTTTAGGATTATGGTAATTTAAACACAGAAAAATTTGATTCAACATAAAAATCTAAAATAAAAAGCAACTTTCTTGTATTAGTTACACAATTTATATTTATATTTTTGTTAGCAAAAAACTAATCAAGAAACATCATATACATAGTATCTGTAATACATTAACAGGAGAAATATCTAAGTCTCTGCTAGTAAGAAATGGATTAAAATGTGTGTGACCTTCCCTCCCACATATATCAAACTGAACCTTCTGATTTTAGCTATACTTTTCTCTTTATCCTATCCCAGATGAAGAGTACATTTTACAGGTGTAGAATTTGACAATTCCGCAAAAATAATTTTTTTTTTACCATGACATGCAGTTAAAGGACTTTTTTTTCTTTTAAGTTTATGAACATTTTTTTTCTTTCTGCAGCATTTTATCTGTCACTTTACTTTTTTGTAGTGTATTTATTTTTTCAGTTTTATCCCATAAAGCTTTTGTATTTTCTAATTTTTCTTGTTTTTTTATTAATCAGTTTAAGGGGTTACTGGGTGTGGAAGAATTAGGAACAGAAACATTAATAATGAGCAGGAAGAGAAAATAGTAATCAGGAGGACAACAGATAGCATTTAGATTTTTGCAGATTAAAGTTGGCTGGAAAGCATGGAATTGGAAGGGAGTTCCACAAGCTAGAAAAGAAACTGTTAGCATAGAATTTACAGTTACATCTAGTCAGCTCAACAGTAAATTGATGAGATCTCGACACCAGTCTAGTACTGCGCTTAATTTAAAAAAGTCTAAGTATCAGAGTGAACAATTATCATGAAAGTATTTATAAAAACACACACACACAGAGGTAACCTTATGGTGATGGGAAAGTGACTGAAACTGAGCCACCAGATCAGGACTAATAATATTGCTGATTTTTTTCTTTGGATTTTATCAAGGAGCTCAAGGTAAATAGCAAGGGCACCGGATCATATGTGGCAGCAATATTCTAAGCATAGTGCGAATGACTTATAGATATGTAATATAATTTTCTCTCCAGAATCTATCTCATATGACACAATGAACCAACTTTCTTAGCAGCTAATGTACCAATAGATTTAATATAGTCTTTCCACTACATGTCAGCTGAGAAAATTAGCTCAAGAAGGCTCTTTCCTGGAGATTAGCATCAGCCATGCTGATGGAAGGCAAAGAGGAGTTTCTTAGATGATTAATGGAGATTTATTCTGAATGTTAAGATTCCAACATAAGCTGAGACTAGAAGAAACCAAAATTTCAACAAATGATATTGATGAATATGAATGGCAACCTTACAGGAAATAGAAAGTTTCTTTCCAGATTAAAATGTAACATGACCATCATCACTTTAACATAAATCAAGAGAGCCTCATACAAAACCAAGTGTAACATTTGCATACATTTCAAGACATTTGCAGTTCTTCAATGAGACTAATGGCGCTTTACATTGGACAGTTTCTTTAGATAGAACTCAGTTTTGGAGCTGGACAGTGCTTTCCCAATGACCAAATTCTGATGCCCTTATGATCAGGGTTTAGATCTATTTTATTTAGCTGGCCTGATCTTGGCATGAGCTCATGTATACATAGCCACATAAGACTTGGCTATACAAACCTTACAAGTCATGTGGTATTGTGATTTCTTTTTTTAATTTTTGTTTACTCGAGTCATAATTTGACTTAGTTTCACTGTTCATCACTTTTGAGATTGCGTTTAATATTTGTATTTAAAATCATTAAACCAAACATCTCTGAAATTAAAAAAAAAATAAATAAAAAGCCTCAAAATACCTTTTACTATAAGTAAAATAAAGCCACTACTTACATGCATAAATTCTTGCTCTTGTAACTTATGACAAAAATCAAATATTGTTTAATATTAGCATTTAACATTTAACAAAATGGTGAATAATGATCTATAAATTCCTGACAAGTTGTTAGAGAAACCTACTCTGTATATTTAACACATCCTGCCATACCTTAAGGAACACAAACATTTAGAGAATAAGTTCAAATTCAAATGTCTCCATGTAAAACTTCATTCTTAAAAAAAAAAAAAAGAAGAATTTAGAATTTTTTTGTGCCAATGCTTTAGCTGGGAATAAAAGATTGTTCTTTTTAAGTTTGAATTTTTTTTTTTTTTTATGCACCCCCTATACTTATAAGTACACATTGGAAAAGGGATCTCTGCAAATTTGGAGGGATAATTAATTATCTAGAGGCAGACAACAAAGAGGCTCCTGTCGTAAGATAGGGGAAAAACCAGGAGGCTCCCACCACCACCAAGTCAACCCTCATGCCAATTTTAGGTGGAAGCTAATATTAGCAGAATACTGAGGTGACCAAGAGAGTTTCCAGAAGTTCTGAAGACTGTAGTTCCAGACAACAGATGAGAGGCAACGGCTATGTCAAATCCCATGTAACTTAATCCAGAGAGAACCTAAATTAAGCGAAGTGTCACAATTCAAAGTGGGAAGGGTTAATATTTCTGTACTAAGAACTAATATTATTCTACAAAGAACAATATAAAATTACATAGAAACAGACTGAAGAAATTCCTGTCATTATTTTTTTTTTTTTTTTACTAGTCTGCAAGAACATTTTTCCTTTGTGACACAGCTTTGCTGGGATTGAACCAATATTGCAATTGCTGACAACAATCTGCCAGCTCTGATCAATCGACATGGGCAGAGCAATGGTTTAGATCAGAGTGACCAACTTAACGGCCAGCATTTGATCAAACATCGACCAGCAGAAAAGTGTTATAATCTAATGTAGAAGACAAGTATTTTTACTTACATTGTATTACACCGATAATGTAATACTACTCTTTTGGTGACTGTGTAACCCTACTTCACAAGCAGTAATATCAGCTCATTAAAGTAAAATATTTTTCGTATTTTATATATATGTATGTGTGCGTTTGTATGTAACAGCAGAATTAAGTAAACTCCCCTTCAACAAAAGAGCAGTGTTTGGCATTTCTTTGGCACAATTCTTTTTCTGCCTCTTATATGTGGTCACTGAAAACAACAAATTACCATTGCAGGTTGAATTGACATATTTTACAGTCTTTATTTACAAACTATCACAGCTTGATAGCCTAAAATAGCAAGCAAAGGGCAGTTTCATATTATGATAACCAAGTGATTAAATGCTAAAGAGAATAAGAAAGATATGTATACCTTGTCTGAAAAAGATATTCAGCCCAGTCAGATGTATGCAATCGGAACACGTGTTGCTTTTTTGTGTAATCAGATGCACGTGTTGCTATGGAATGGTGAATGCGGATGGCATTACTGGAATTTTCTATTAAATTTCCTTTCTTGAAACCATGTTCATCTTTGTGAAGGTAGAGAATCATGTCTCGTAGAGATGCATAAAACATCTTCCACCCTCGTTTCCCAAATGATGCTAAAATAACAAAAAAAGAAAAACACAGCAGTCTTTATCTTTGTTGCAATGATTTTTATAATTAAAATAAAACCTAATATTTTATAAATATAAATTTTATAAATTTGTGATAATAGAATAAATCTTGGGAATACAAATCTTTTTTTATTCATTCATTATTTTTGTAGAAATATAAAAATTCAAAAGGAATTTTTGAATAAACTGCAATCAAATAATTCAAAATTTTATGATATGCAAAAAATAAACAAAAAGAAATTTTAGCATAGACCTAGGAAAATTAAACAAAAATAACAGATGAAGAAAGATCTCATTTCTTTGCACTGTGATTACAAGAAAGAAAAAGAAAAGTTAATTATAGGTTATTGATATAAACAATAGCAATGATGGTCTAAATGAAAAATTGCAGCTAAAATGATCAACAGAAATTCTTTTTTCCTCTATGTAATTTTTAAAACATTTAACTAGAATTAAAGTGTTGTTCCCCTCAGTTCAAAGAATATACAAAGAAAGTATGAAATTTAGTATAACCAAAAACAATTTTAATCAGAAACAAAGCTCTAACACCAATAAATTAATGTAACAGATTGGTTACTTATGATGATATATGTTAATTAAATTGTGATGATTCTAGTCCATAATGGCGACAACAGGTATTAATGGTTAATAATGTATAAGCCAAAATCCATGAAAGGAAAATGCAACAACAAAGAAATGCATAATATGGACCAGAGTAAAAATTAGAATCAGAATAAGCAATTGTACTGATTTCATAATAGAAAATAACATATTTAATGAAAATTACATACTTCTTCGTCCATCTGGGTCTAAACAGCATTTCCTCATTACATAACCCTTTTTATATTCAGTAGTTTTTGTGGGATCAGGAATCTGAAAAAGACATTTAAGTTAATTATTTTGCAAACATTTACATGTTAAAGGCTTTTAAGTCAGGTGAGAAGAGTTTTCTCCTTTTAATATTCAACCTACACAGTTTGCTGTTGTTGCAGAGTAAACTATAAATTACAATGACTCACAATTTACTGAGCTTTTCCCCAGATTGTTTTTCCTTTCTTTGTAGATAGCATTATAAAATTCTCGGTCACTTATTTGATATTGACAGGGAATTTCATGAGGAGGTGGTAAAAAGTTATGTGACTGAAATCAGACTAAATAACCAAACATCAGATTTTTTTTTTTTTTTTGGTAAGTGCTTCTTTGTCAGACTGAGAACTTTTTAACAACCCAAGTTTTAGCGCTGAAAGCATGACTGCCAACAGACTCATTATATGATCAAGATTGTTTGAGAGAGAGAGAGAGAATTTTTTTTTAAAGTAATTGTTAATTTTCTATCACCTGTGTAAATTTAAGTAAACTGAAGCACTGGAAATATGTTAAATATTTTACAAGTGTCCAAATACTTGCTACTTTTATATATTGTTCTTTCATAATTCAGCCAGAAAAATGTTTTTACTATACAAAGAAATTTGCACTACTGAGCAAATAGAAAATTTAACCAATTCATTTTGGTAACTTACCTCCAAAAAGGGGTTGTGACCAAGCCGAGATGGGGCATCACTCAAGGGCACCTGTCGCCGTTCATTTGAAACCGACTCATGTTCTTGAAGATCCTCATCCCTGAAAAAATAAAATTTATATTTTAAGTGATGACAAAAATGATGGAAGCAATAACTTCTGCTTTCCATTCTGTGTCAATGCAGGAACTATACATGCATTATGCAGATAAATTAAGTCCAGTGAATTTGGCACATTTAGCCGATCTACCAAGTCACATGAATTTCATCAAAAATCCTTGAGAGAGAAAATACTCACGGCGCCCATTCTATGGGTTCAACCTTTATTGCTGCATAGATCAGACGCAAATCTTCTTTGGGAAAATTTTCTCCATCATTCAGCTCACACAAGTTCTCAATGAATTCATTGCAGTTCATCTTACGACCAACATTCTAAAAAACAACATAAATAAAAATGTATATATATATATATATATATATATATATATATATATATATATATATATACAATTATCTATATATTATATATGCGCGGTACTTATTGGAAAGCACTCAATATCAGTGATGGAACTAACATATTTAGTTGGAATGGTGTGAGTTTGTGACCCTGGGTTTCACGCTATTTGCGATCATCAGACAAACTATATATATATATATAAATAAACATTCAAAAGAATCACAGCACAGCTGAGTAATTTTCCAAAATCTATTTCAAAGCTTAAATAACAAATATGATTAAGCTGATACGGCTTTTTTTTTTTAACCGACAAGTTACCATTTCTTTTTACAATTTGGTTGTAATGCTTACTCAGAGTTCTAAATCCATAAGAGAATAAGCTAACATAAAAGGAAATTGAACTATTTGGATTTTTTGATGCTGTAGTTGAATGAAGGTGTCCTGAAAAGTTCTTGGTCCAGTACACCTCTCTAAACCTTACCAAGTGATCAAACAGATTTCTTTTTTTAAAAGTCCATACTTGATTTGACTATGAAATTTTCAGCATTCCACTCCTAGATATTTAAAAAAATTTGTTCTTTTGAGACCTGATGAATAAATAATTTGCATAGATTTAAGGAACATAAGACAGAAATAAATACAAAAAGTATCACTAGATATAACTGAAGGAAGCTGTGTCAATCAGGTCAAAGGAAATTTCAAGACGCCATGGTTTTCATTACTAAACTGAAAGGAAACTGGAGAACATTCTTATGTAATCATCTACACTATCATAGAGAATTGTCTGGCTGGCTCACATTACAGAAAATGAACCAAATTGATATATTAGCTATTGTTTCTTTTCTGGTCACCACATCCTGAAGAAGGCTAGAATGGATCAGCTGAAATTCAGTAAGCAGAAGCACCACAAAGAATGATTTTCAATTGTCTGAACAATTCCATTGTTATATAAACTTAGTTTTCTTCTATAAAATCAAACTTATCACTTACAGGTGAGACAAAATATATTTGCAGCCCAGATTATATGGATGTTTTTCAGCATAATCAATATACATTATACAGCACAAAATATATGAAAACAATAATAAAACTGTTTTTTATGCAGTATTCCATTGTATATATAAATTACTATTAACTGAAATTTGATGTTCAATATGATTTTGAATATATTTTGATATACTGATAGTTACATTCACTTCATATATTTCAACAGAAAATTTTAATATAAACAATAGTGAATATATTTAATATATATTCACTATTGAATATTTCTTGTCACATTGATTAAGACAAAGAGTGGGGTTCTTTTTTACATTCATATAAAAAAGGTAGAAATCTGAATATGCACAAAAATAACTTTAAAATAATATTAGAAAGTCTTTTAAAAATATGGTAAGAATGAAATGAACTTACCTGACCATGAAGGTCTGTATTTAACAGCATTATTGCACAAGTTAATGTGTGGCAGGCATCTGAAAGTGAAGAGATATCAGTAAATTATAGCTTCGCTTGTTTTATCAGCATATCAACCCTCATGGTAAATTATAGGAAATTAAAAACCAAACATTTAAGTTGTAATTTATGCAAAGCAATTTGTATAAAGAAAAATTAATCAAGTGTCAATGTATGTATCCATTTTTTTTTTTTTTTATTTATTTATATCTGTTGAAAATTGAATACAATGTAATTTTGGCTTGTGAGAAAATTTCTTAGTTAATATTGCATTTTATCCTGAAAAGCAAATTCTTAATGGTTTTAATGATGGCGTCAATATTGTGTGTGTGTTTGTCTAAGAGAGTGAGTGGTGGAAAATTATTGAAAATGAAATAACATTGATTTGTTAAAAGTCAGTAAATCCTTTTAATTTTGTTTTTCATAGGGAGAGGTTAGTTTTTGAATGTAGATTACTGTTTTGCATAAAAAAAGTTAAAAGATACAGAAATTTTGATATTCAATGTATCTAGATGTTCAACTTAGCCTGTATCATTCAACATTTTATCATTTTTATTTATATTGAATAAAAAAAAACAAAATGCTATTGTTTTCAATTATCTTACATTGTATCAGTAGTAGTTTGTGTGGAAAGGAGATTTATTGTATGATTCTGGATTAAGTTTATCATGGAAGATTCCAAAACTAGTGCACTTACAATACATTTTTACCATAATTATCTTCTCCCTTTAATTAAAACTGTATTATGGTGAAATTATGGTGATAATACAATGAACAATTAACACAATGAGTGTGTTGTTTTTTCTAAAAGATCATTGTGTTCATATGTTTTTTAATTTAAATTCTTAGATGTTTTGTTGATTTTGGAGATTTTTTTACAGTCTATACATTAATTATTGCTTCAGGTTTTAGATTGCTATTATATTTTTTTGCAGTAAATCTCTTATTGTTTTTGAAGTAGTTGAAATAAATTTTATACGAAGTTTAGATTAAATTCTAAAGATTTGAAATTAGATTAAGGAGAGATTTTAATAATTTCCCTCTTGACCTGAAAGGAGTCAAGAACCTTATTTGGTAACCATTCTAAAGATGGTGTCTTGTTAAAATCCTCTAGTGCTGTAAATAGGTTAAAAGGAGTAGATTTGTTTGCCTAGGACCTGGCCAGTATTCCTTCTATGTTTATTGAACGGAAGTAGAGGTTTATCCCTTGTTTCCTGTTTAGGATATGGTTTATCAGTTCTTTCTGCTATGGCATAATAATTTAACTGACTTAACTTTTCATTATGAGGGTATCCGGTTGGCAGTTTTCTGGTTGCTACTTCCAACTGATAGCAAGGAGCCCGAACTCTTTGGTAGTGCTTAGAGAGGCTGCTTTGACCAACAATCACATAATATCAAAGTATTTGTAGTGGCATGTTGTACAAGGACATGTGTCCCTGGCATGTATTGGATTGTCTAGAAAGTTCATGCTGATTTTTAAGGGAAATTAAAACAAAAAACAAAATTATGCCATTAAATATTTATTCAACTAAATATGAACCATTTTGTTGCACAACCTTTCTCCATTTTTCCTTCCCTCCCAGAATTTTGGTAGTTTCTTGGCAAAGAACTCATTAAGGTGACTTTTTATGTCATCCAAAGAATTAAGATTTTTACCAATGAGATTATTTTGCAAGGTCCTGAATGAATGGAAATCAGGGATAGCAATGTCTATGAATATGGCAGGTGAGGGTAATAGGCCCCAGCTAAATTGCAACAATTTTTGCAGGTTTGCCAAAGAAACGTGAGGTCTGGCACTATCCTGACGGAAAACACCTGCTTCCTGTTTGCCAATTCTGGTCATTTTTTCTTGAATTGCTGCCTTTAATTTGTCCATTTGTAAACAGTACTTTTCAGAATCAATTGACTGGTTAATTAGTAGAAGCTTATAGTACAGGATTCCTTTCCAGTCCCACCAGATGCACAGCATGACTTTCTTAGAATGAAGATCTGCTTTTGAGGTGGCTAAAGTTGGCTCATGTTGCTAACGCAATAATTTTTTTGCTGAACATTGTTGTAAACAATCCATTTCTCATCATCCACACTTTGCTTCAAAAAGGGTGCATTTTCATTGCATTTATACAGCAAATCATAGATGAAATGCGATCCAAGAGATTCTTTTCACTCAGATCATGTGGTACCCAAACATTGTAGTGATTTGAGTACCCAAGCTTCATTAAGTGCTCATGGATGGTGGATTTTGATAAATTTAGTGTTTCTGCCAATTGTCATGTTTTGATTTGGTTGTTATCTGTAGTGGAGGAGTGTGAGCCTGAGCGCTCTACATCAATAAGGCTACAATCACCAACTCTAAAATTAGAGAACTACTTCTGTACAGTTCTGTCAGCTAAAACACCTATACACAGTACATATCTTTTTTTTTCTTGCTTGCAAGGTATTTTTAGCTTTACAATAAAAAAAAAAGCATCAAGTGTCTAATAATCTTCCATTTCCATAGGGATGAAAAATTGACATGAATTAAGTCATTTTAAACATTCTTTCTCAAGAGATAGAACTATCAAACTTTCCAATTCAAACTAATTGGAAATGTTAGATAAATTTGATGTGTTCTAACATGAATGACTAAAAGTCTGCATTGACTTTCTGGACAAACCAATATTTCCCATGGGCAATCCAGAGGCCACATTAGTCTTAGCCACCTTCTGGACAATTTGTATTGCCATAGATGACAGTGATAATTATTTTGGCCTTTTTCTCAAACAATCTCATGATAGATACAATGAAAAGAAATATAAATAATCTAGTAATGTTTTTAATTGAAAAAAAAAAAAAAAATCACCACATTCCACCTTTCTTCAATATTCATGGTATTAGTACTAATTTCTGTAGTGTAGAATCTTTTCTCTTGAAATGTTCTTCAGCTATCTTAGCACTAATAATCATAAACGCATCCTCAAAGAGGCTAAGTCTTTGCTGACAGAATGAGACACCATATCCCGGCTTCAGTCACTTTCCCATCACCATAACATAGCTTCCCTGTGTCTTTTCTATAAATATTTTCATGGCAATTGTTCTGATAAACCTTCCTCTATGGTCTGGTGGCTTCTGCTATGTATTTAAAGATTCTTGATAAAGTACAAAAAAGAATCTGTAATGTTATTGGTCCTGACATCTCAACTTTAGTCACTTTTCCATTGTTGTAATGTAGCTTCACTGTGACTTTTCTATAAATATTTTCATGGTAATTATTCTGATGGACTATGGTACCTAGACTTTGCAAATTCAAGTGTAGTACTAGATTGGTGGAAAGGTCTCATTTTACAGTTGAAATGGCTAGATGTAACTAAGTTTTAAACTAGTAGTTTTTGTCTCTTGCACTTTTTGCTTGTGAAACTTTTCTGGCTTCTTGCTTCCCAGTCAACTTTGATCTTCAAAAATTTTAATATAATGTCAATTGTTATTTTTTGTCTTCTTAATTCCTGTTCTTTTATTGTTCTCTCTTCTTCTTAAGTGTTCCCCTATGTCATATTCTCTTACACTCAGTAACCTCCTGCATCTTAGTGGTTTTGTTGCTTTGCTTGTGATGACATGATTCAAAAAAATTGTTATAGGTGATATTGAGCTGGTAGGAAGTATTGTCTAGTTTACCAATATTATTTATATTTACTTTTCTAATCCTATGAATGCAATGAGTTTCACAATAAGCATTTATATGAAATAGGATATTGGAATTTAAAAGTATTTTCAATGTATTTTTCTTTGTGTAAATATTAAAGGTTACAAATTCCAAGTGTCTATAATTATTCCAAATAGAATTTTGTGAAATAACTTTTATTAGGCATTTAATTGTAGATGGTTATCAGTGAGGTTTAACATGATATCTATGACACCCACTGGTGGTCGCAGCGCCAATATGTGACATATCAAAGAACAATAATGTAGTGTCCATTTGTACATATGCAAATTACATGATATGTACTATGCTTGGATTATCTATAAAATCAGGTAAAATTGATTTGCTGGAGTATATTAATAAAACATCAATAATATATATTGGAAATATTTCTATTGTTCAGGTAAAATATTTTGCAAAGAACCACTTTCAAGAAATTCTAAATCAAAACAAACTTGTAGAGGGAGTTATAACTCCCTGAGTAAATAATTATAAACCTAATATTTACATATACAAAAATACTTGTAAAAATGAGTAGAAACAATAAAATGAATATTATCTGGTTGTTATGTGGTGTTTAAGACAAGAGACAGTAATATGGGGTGAAATTGTGTGTTTGGGATCAAATATGGGTCAGAATCTGACAGAAGGAGAAGATAAAGAATATAAGTGAATAGTCTTTGTTGTATTTTTTTTTTTTTTTTATAGATGTGGACACTCATTACACACATCTATAAAAAAAAAAAAATATAGATAATTTAGCTGAAAAAATAGAAGTGTCTGTTTTTTGTTTTTTTTTTTACCTTGGATTTTTGTTGAGTAGTGAGAGATAAAATTTACTATTATGACCTGAAAAGGAGATGAAATTTTCATTGACACATGTGTTGATGTGTGTACAGGAGAAAAGTAGGGTTGATTTTTATTGGTTTAGAGTGAATTAATGATAATTATAATAATTATTTTTTACAGTAAAATTAATTTTTATCAATTTTTTTTAATGGACACAACAAGCTATAACACTGCTAAGAGATGGATGATTGCTTCAGTAATCTGAATATCTGTCTATAAAAATTAGTTAAATAAGTCAGCAAAACCTTATAATCTTGTCTTGGTGGTTGTGAGGTTAGTTTTTGATTTTACTAGATGCTTCTTTAGGGAAGTAAAGCATTTCTTAGATAGTACATTAATGCATAAGGATTTACTATATAAACTAGCTATGAATTTAACTTTCATATTTTTATTTTTAGTCTTTTGTCAATATTGCTAAAACTTTCAATATGTCAAGTGCTAATTACTTCAAGAAGTGGAGATAAAAGTTTTTCTTTATTATTCACTAGTCTATGAGAGGAGTACTTCCAGTTTCAGATATGGGAATTAACAGATCCTTCTTTCAAAAATCACTTTCATATATTTTGATATCCCAAAGTTTAAAAATAGATTACAATAATGGCAACCTCAGCTTCAGAATCAAAAGGTATTGACATCCTCTTTTTAATAATATACAACCTATTCAGATTGTCAATGAGTTTATTTTTTATGTGATGTATTGGCTATATGAAGTAATAAAAAAAAAAAAAAAAAACTTTATTAGGGTGGGGTGAAAAGTCATCTGCCTCAGCAAGAAGCAACTGAAAATTTACCCAATAAAGGCAATATTTCCATTTAGAAAATGTATTAATGTTTACAATACTTTAAAATATAATCTTAAAAATGTGCAAACTGGTAATATCTGTGTTTTAGAGTGCAAAAGATTGTTAAAATTCTAAAAAGATTATTTTAAAGAAACTTATACTCACCTTCAGAGTTATATGTATTGGGGTTAGAGGTCATGTAGCGTTTTGAAAAGTGAGCCAGCACTCTTTCACGTTCCTGGGTTTCCCCAATAAGGGAAAACTGCTTGAGAAACGTTCGTAATGCAACATCTAGAGTCGTTCCCGTAAAATCGAAAAATTGAAGATATTCCTCAGCTACTGAATTGCTGAAATCATTTCTAAAAATTAAAATAAATAGGAACTTTAGACATCAACAATGGCACCATCATTCAACATGTAGACAAGATTTTCTAGAGATACAGAAAGTATTTTTTACTTTTATGAAATTTTATTGAATGTTATAAACAAATAATTTCATTGATGGTATTTTAAAAATATAAAATGTAGGAATTGAAAATTATTCTCTGTAAACATTGAGAGAGGAAGAAAAAAAACATATAAAGTACATAAACAGGTTTAAAAATCAGGTTTTGTGCTGCATTCCAGATTTACACAGCAGTGTTAAATGTGAATCAAATAAAAATAAAAATTAAAGTACAGAGTACAAAAAATGCAAATATTTGAAGAACCTGGACATAATATTAGTAAATTAATGATGGTGAACTTGTAGTTTAAAAATATCATTATTTTTTCTTTAGAGATGAAAAGTATCAGTGTGCGCACACACACACACACACAAATTAAATCTATTCACACTTATATTTAAATTTCTAAAAAATTTTCATTCCCTTTATGTGAAATTAAAAGTATATAACTTGAGAAATAGTTTATTCATTTACTAAAGATGAAATTGGATTTCATCTTTAGTAAATGAATAAACTTTCAAAATCCACTAAGATAAACACATTATAACAGAAAATAATGGAAATTATTTTTACATAGCATAACATGTTAAGTCATTTTATGTGTGCAGTATAGACACTTCCATTTTCTGTCAAGTGGAACAACAAATTGTTGTTTACAAAATGATAAAGTCATTTTTTGTCCAAGAATAAAACTAAACAATAGGGTACTGTATTCAAATATGGGGTACTCAAAAATTAGTGACAGCAGGATACATGACGCCACCTTCCCTCCAATTGGTAGAAATAGACTTAGTCAATATATTAGGTAAGGAAGTACTGTAAATGTTGCAATTATGGGAAATAGACAGATATTAATATTGATTGGGTCTAGAAAGATGGGGTACTCTCTTTGAGGTGGTAGCTTAAACTTAATTTCACTATATTTCTTGTCTTTAGGTATTTGATACCTCGATTTAGAATTACCAAGAGAAAGAGACTAAACTAGTTCCCCTACCAGGCTTTTATGATGAGTGAGGCTCAGCATGATTAAAAACAAGACCTGTCAAGGGATAGATAAAGCTTCTTGTAGAGTCAATAGCCATCTAGTACAATGGGTATACTGGGCTCCATAGTATATATGCAGCCAGTATAGTGATGACATAGCATGACTGGACAGAGAGCTTTCTAGATTAGTCAATAGTCAGGGTAGAGGGTTTCTCTGATAGAATTAATGGCCACATGTCCTTGACCAAGGCTGGCTTTCAAGTTGGAGGACATTGAGATGTACAAGTTGATAAAGACACATTACACATAAATGAGTACCTCTTCAGCTTTTATCCCAGATATGCGGATGAAACTAGTCAGGTGCTTAGTTGTACAGCAATCCTACAACCACACCTCGTCATGGGACTGATGATGATGAGGAGGGAGGAAAAAAATAAAATGAACGAAAAAACAAAAACATAGTATTGGTTGGAGCCTTGTGAGAAAAGCAGCAAATTGGGGGTTAATCTGAATAACTAGTGAAAAAAAATGATTAACTCCGAATTTCATAAAAATGCAGTGACTGAAATTTCTTTTTATTTGGTGGTTCTTCCATGAAAAATCTAACATACTTTCTTAAATATCTTAAAAGATTTTTCCTGGAAGAACTACCAAATAAAAAGAAATTGTATCAATAACAGATAGATTGATGAATTCTTTATTTTCCTTTAGAGTTGTGTAAGTTTGATGGAATACAAAACTATTGCAAAGAAATTTCTATTATTTTACAAGCAACACAAAATTAATGATTATTAGAAGAACAAACTTCTTTATGATCTAGAAATCAAATTGAAAATATGTTATAGAAATACTAGTTGGAATTTAAGATTGGCTAAAAATAACATATACTACCCATTCACCCTAGGCATTAATGTGTATATATATATATATAAAAAGATTTTGCATGACATTAAAAAAATCTTTATCTCTGTTATTTTTATTTACTCAATTCTATTTTGTCTATTGTATCAATTGTGGATGCAATACATGTGAGAGTGTCGAAAAGTTCTCAGCATTTCTCTAAATCTGACCAAATGACAAAAGAGAAACAATTATTGAGGACATATTCTATTTCCTGATGGAGTAGAAACACATGAAATGTAATAAGATATCCCAGATATTCTACTTATCCACAAAATCTGTAAAAATATTGCTGTAGATGCAAGCACCTGACAGTCCTCTTTCATAGAATATAAACAAGATATCATATGATAACACTTGTAGTTGAGTCTTGACATTTTATTGCCATAATGTCTTTCTTCTGACTTCACTGTTGATATTTTCACAGCATCAGCCAGACTTATCAGGTGACATTATTTTAAAATACATTGTCCAGCCATTCCAAGGTCATACTGCTAAAGCATGTAGAGTCACCCACTTGATCCATGACTTGACCATTGTATTTAGCCCTTTGATGTAGGTAGTACATTGATTTTAAAGCTTAACAAAAACAGAAGCGTGACATGGCTCCATGTACCTCCATGGGGTTCATGAAGACTCCCTGTTATTCCAGCAACTTTTGAGAAACTGATCTCTGTAGTTGGGGGTTAGTGTTATGGTGCACCTTTTTATTTTCTTTGTCAGACTGAAAGTAGTATGTTAATGCTTTTAATACAGCTGGAAGAGAAATGAGAACATTAAAATCTGGCATATTGTCACTTTCTATTTGTGGTCCACTAAAGAAGTGTTCTCAAATATCTAGTGCAATTTGTATGTATGTGTACACTGATGTACCAAAAGTCATCAGAGAGGTACTTCATAATTGTATAGAACCTCCACTAGCTCAGTAACTTGATGCAACATTGATTCTGGAAAGATTTTAAATCTTGCTGTCTTACAGCTGTTAATAGCTCCTTGATATTTATAGATACAGGATCTTACCTGCAAATATGCCTTTCCAACATATCCCATAAATATTTGATTGGGGGGGAGGGTCATGATGGGTAAATAGGGTAGCCATACTATTTGTTAGAATTCTCCAGAATGTTCCTCAAATCAATTCTGGAACTGTGACATGGTGCATTATTATAACCTCAAAAACAGTGAGTTATTCCACAATAACCCACTGTTCTTGAGGTAGATAGTGCCCTCAAAGAAGTGCAAATGGTTAGAATGCAGTGGTCATTTGTCAATGATATGGTTAGATTATAGTGATTACTAATCAATAATATATTTGAGCAAACCAGTGGGCCCAACCCAGGCTATGTGAATACACCCTACTCCATTATAGAACCAACACCAGCCTGCACAGTTTCTCAGTGACAACTGGGATTCATGGACACATAAGGATCATGCCACACTTAAACTATACAACCAGACTAAGCCTGTCTTCCAGGGTTCAATTAATGATATCAGTATGAAACACCTTCATCAGAGTTGTTAACAAAGCTCAATATTGAGGATATAACATCAGTGCTGTGCACCTATCACCTTAGAAGCTTTGTCATGCATCAGGACTGTGTTGCAGTTCAGGGTTCCTGGTCACAGAATTTGAGGTAGATCTAGGAAGATGTGGAAGGACTGCATTGGGTTGGATGTGCAAGAGTATGGCCTTGTCCACATTAGCCTGCTTGACAGGGATGCTTGGAAAGAGTGAGTGAGAGCTAGCCAACTGCTGCCTACACCAGTCACTGGGATATCAGCAGCAGTATAATCAAAGCTCTGGATCTTGGCTTGACTTGAGGTGAGGTGAGGTGCTGTCTGACATCATTTTTAAAAGAAATTATATTTCTATAAATAATATTCATTATTCTTTAAAACAAATCCAATTTTATGGATGTATGGTGTTTAAAGACATTTTTTTTCAAAGTGCAAAATTACAATCAATAAAATAAAAGAAAATATAAAGTCTTGGAAAGCAATAGATCTTATTTCATTAACAAGAAAAAAATTGATTTATTTTAGATTGTCAAGAGTAAAAAATAATTTTGCTGTAAAGATAGTTGTTATCAGATATAAAGGAAACTATTTATTCTGGATTGTTAATTTTCAACTGAGGATGTGGGAATTTTCAAAAGTTAACTGTGATTAGAAATTAGTAGATTCAAACTGTTGGATTATTGATCTTTCTATAAATGACAATTCACCTTTCAAGTCAGAACTGAAATAGGGCAAAATGTGTGCATGAGCAAAAACTGATCAAGAACCACCACTCTAGATTATCAGGATAGTTATCAGTGTCAATATTACAATAATAGTGAAAAAAAAAAAACAACAAAAAAAAAACAGTTAATTTAAATAAAAGTTGTCTAATTTGGAGAGTTAACTGCAATTCAAGAACTTCCCAATTTTCAGACTGACTTGCTTTGTGGATGTTTTCAAACTAGTTGCTTCATATTTTTAAATTTTGTGTCATGAGTCTTATTCTTTATTCTAAATATGTAAGAAAAAGAATCAGTGAAAACAGTCCGATAGCTTAATAATCTGAACCAGAAAATCAAATATAGAAAACAAATGCAGAAAAGAGTAGGAATTGTCTACACCAAACTGGTAGGAAAAAAATGAATAAAGTGGTCTGTTATCGCATTAATCAAGAAAGGCAAGAAGCCTCAACCAAAAATGGGTGGAAAAAGCCTCAATGTGGTAGATGGCCTAGTAAATATTTGGTCATGTGCCTACTAGCTATCTGCCTGGTGTCTTGTGACACACAAGACCTCTAGTAAGGTTTCTGTAATTTAAATTTTCCACAGAGAATGGGAATTGGTCCCACATCCAACCTCTGAGGAAAGGT